CAACAAAACAACCCCCCACACACAAAATCCTGTTTCTGTTTCATGTGTGAAAACCTGTTTCTGACTTCTGACATAATGGAGTGACTGGCGACTGCAAAGCTATGATATTTACTTGGGAAATTCGCGTGATCTGTAAACTGGTCGCTTTTAAGCACAAGTGGGCTGTCCCGAAAAATGCAGTTTTGAGAAGATCGAAGGTAAAATTTTTGGATCCGTGTTCAGTTTCTTTAAAAGACAAGGAGAGTTTTCGCTTTAACCAAACAAATATACACACCAATGAAACCAAACTTCTCCTATAGGTAGGACAATGCCCACTTTTGGTGCAGGTCAAGATTTCTGGAAACCCCCGAAATCTGGGTTAGCCCGCTTGTCCTAAAGAGCGACCAACTCATCGACACTTCCCTCTTCTCGTTTAGTTATTTTTTATGTGAGGTGCGTTCTTCCTTTTCTGGTCCCCCCCCCCCCACCTTCTTTAGTGTGGGTGGTTGGAGGGCGCCACTGGTAGGTCCTTCTTTTTTCCCCCACTGTTGTGTCTGTCTGTCTGTGTTACTTTTCCCCAGCACTAAATGACCTTTATTGTGTCGATGTGCTTCTCTTTACTCAAACAAACAAACAAAAGCCGATGACATTTTCCTATCAATTAGACACCAGATAGCAGGAAATACAATGAAAAAAACCCGACGAATTATCGAGATCAGGTGAATCAGTTGGCCTCGTAATACCGGCATATATATTCTATTTCGAAATACCATCACAGAAACTACTCCCATCATTCTTTATGACAAACCTTTTTTTTGTCTCAACCCCACGGCTGTGGCCTAGTTTTTGAGAGAGAATTGTGGGTGGTTGGCAGGTGCTCTGATGTGGTTTGCTCCTTTACTCCTATGAAACATCTGTCGTCCTTATATTACCTCTCCTCCTTTTTTGTGTATGTTACTCTCTTGTAACACATCTATTCTTCGCCACTTATATGACCTTATTGTGTTGCAACTGCCGTAAAATAAAACTCTTACGAAACGAACAGTTTTCTTTAATACATGTACGAGCTTTGGAAATATTCCAGCTAGATTACACACGTAAGTTAAGCAAACCTGGTGTAATTGGTGTTTTTGCATAATATTATAAGCTTATTAAGGAGCATTGTCACCTGCCCTGCTGTCTGCTCTCGCGGCTAATTGAGAGGCGCCTCATTTTTCCTCATCCTTACTGTCGTCATTTGTCCTCTACTTCTTTTGTATGTTTGTCACTCTCCTTTTCCGGGGTGCCTTGATAGTCGAAGCAGACTTTGTGTGGGTGGTTGGTGAGTGCTCTGGTGTGGTTTGCTTCTTCTTTCCTTTCAAACGTCTATCGTCTTTATCTCTGCTCCTTTTTTGTGTTTGTTACTCGCTTGTAGCACCTCTAATCTACGGCTCTTATATGACCTTATTGTGTTGCAAGTGCCGTAAAACTCTTACTAAAACTTAAAAAAAAAAGACTTTGTGCTGTTGAGGCTAGAGAGGTGAGCAGAGTAAGTCTGATTCCCCGTTTGGACTTCCCTGTTGACATCCACCCCTTGGCG